ACCAAAGCGAGTTGACTGCCTAAGGCTGCGGGTATGAGACCAGCTTAGGCAACTTGGCAAGACCTTGTCTCTACAATAAATCAAAAATTAGCTGGGCATGGTAGCGCGTGCCTGTAGTTCCGGCTACTTGGAATGTTGTGGCAGAAGGATCATCAGAGCCCAGCAGGTCGATGCTGGGGTGGCCGTGAGTGTGCCACTGCACTCCACCATGGGCGACAGAGTAAGACTCCAACTCAAAAAAAAAAAAAAAAAAAAACTCACAGTGGATAATATACACTATATACATAAACATATACTATATATACACATATACATACACGCATCTACACATATACAAAAGATTTGTATCCAAAATATATGAAGAATTTTTACCATTCAGTAAGAAAAAAATACAGATAATCTAATAGAAGGCACTTCACAAAAGAGTACATTCTAACAGCCCAATAAACATATGCAAAGGTGCTCAATGAGTAGTTATCAGAAAACATAAGACAAAATCTCAGTGCAATACTACTATACCCCCAACCAGAATAGCAAAAAGATAGACAATACCAAGTATAAGCAAGAAAGTGGGAGTGTAAACAAGTACAATATCTTTGAAAAACTAACAGCATCTTTACATGTAAGCACAGCCTACAATCCAAGACTCTCTCCTTCATATTTTTGCAACAAAAATAAATAAATGTTCATTTAAAAAAATACAGGCTAGGGTCGGTGGCTCAGCCGTAATCCTGCGCTTTGGGAGGCCGAGGTGAGTGGATTGCCTGAGCTCGCTGGTTCGAGATCTGCCTGGGCAACTTGGCGAGACCTCATCTCTACAATAAATCAAAAAAATAGCCAGGTGTGGTGGCGCGCACCTGTAATTCTGGCTACTTGGAAGGCTGAGGCGGAAGGATCACCAGAGTCCAGTAGGTCGAGGCTGCAGTGGCCAGAATCAGTCACTGCACTCCAGTCTGGGCGACAGAGTGAGACTCTAACTCAAAAAAAAAAAAAAAAATACAGAAAAGTCTTCACAATTGTGCAATACACTAACAGTCAAAAACTGGAAACAATCTAAATGCCCATCAACAACAGGACAAAATAAGTTGCAGTATATTCACACAAGAAAATATGATACAACAGGAATGAACAAACTACAACTGACAAATACATAATATTAATTAAAAGATGCCAGACATAAAATAGAACATTATTATTCCATTTATATGGTGTTTAAGAACAGGCAAAACTAATCTACAGTGAAAAAAATCAACAGTTGTTGCTAGGTGAGAGAATGACTGAAAGGAACTGAAAGGGAAAATTCTAGAGTGATTCTGTATCTTAATCTGGATAATCGTCAAACAAGTACATACATTTGTCAAAATTCCCTGAGCTGTTTGCAAAGGATTTGTGTATTTTATTGGAAATAAATTATACTTCAGCAAAATATTGATAGCATTTAAACAAATATCCAGGATTCTAGAGCAGTGATATACAAAGTAGTCAGTTTGTTGGGGTCCTCAACATGATCAGGAACTGGCACCAAAATGTCTATCAATAAAATTTCTTTCAAAAAGAAAGTCTTGTTATAAAAACAATGTTAGCTGAAATAAACAGTAAGTCAAACTAAACTATTATAAGTACCAGGCACAATGGATCACGCCTATTATCCCAGCAATTTGGGAACCTGAGGCAGGAGGATCACTTGAATTCAGAAGTTCAGAACCAGCCAGGGCAACAAAGCGAGACCCTGTCTCTACAATAAATAGAAAAATATGACGGGCAGAGTACCACACACCTGTAGTACCAGTTACTTGGGAGGCTGAGGCAGGAGGATCACTTGAGACCAGGAATTCCAGGCCAGAGTGAGCCATGGTCATGCCACTGCACTCCAGTCTGAGCAACAGAGCAAGAAACTGCCACAAAAAGAAAAATACACGGTAGATGCACATTCTAGTGAAAGTTCCTAATTGGTCAGGCACGGTGGCTCATGCCTATAATCCCAGCACTTTGGGAGGCTGAGGTAAAAGGACTGCCTGAGTCCACAGGTTAGAGACCAGTCTGGGTAACTTGGCGAGACCTCATCTCTACAATAAAACAAAAAATGTGCCAGGTGTGGTGGTGTGTGCCTGTAGTTCCAGCTACTTGGAAGGCTGAGGTGGAAGTATCACCTGAGCCCAGCAGGTCAAGGTTGTGGTGGCTGTGAGCATCCCACTGCACTCTAGCCTGGGCACATAGTGAGATTTCAACTCAAAAAAAAAAAAAATTGTAGAAACCAAGAAAAGTGAGAACATGCTAAAATATTTTGGAGCTAAGTTAGAGATATCACTTTGAAGTACTTTTGGAAAAAAGGTAAAGAAAAAACATAAAAAGCAAGACAATTTAAATAAAAGCGATGGCCGGGCTCAGTGGCTCAGCCTGCAATCCCTCGCTTGGGGAGGCTGAGGTGAGTGGACTGCCTGAGCCTGCGGGTTCGAGATCCACCTGGACAACTTGGCGAGACCTCATCTCTACAATAAATCAAAAAATTAGCTGGGCGTGGTAGCGTGTGCCTGTAGTTCCAGCTACTTGGAAGGTTGAGGCAGAAGGATTGCCGGAGCCCAGCAGGTTGAGGTTGTAGTGACCGGGAGCATACCACTGCACTCCAGTCTGGGTGACAGAGTGAGACTCCAACTCAAACAAACAAACAAACAAACAAATAAATAAAGTGATAGATGGCAGAGTGAAGTCTAAGCAGATCAATAAATGCAAATATAAAATAAAGTCATTGATTAAAAGTTAAAGACAAAATGAATTGTTTTAGTAATAAACTATCTGTTACGTATCAAAAAGACGATAAAAAGAGGGAATACATATAGATAAAACTGGTGAATATATTAATGTCTTTAAAAAAAGGTCTGAAGACAAAGACAAAAATCTTGAATAGGAATAGAGAAGATCACTAAATAATGACAGAAAGTTCAATTCACCAAAACAAACAACTCTAAACAGGTATACGTATAACAAAATAAGCCTAAAATACACAAAGCAAAAAATTCACTGAACTTCAAATGTGAAATCCAGTATCACAGTAGGAGATCTCAACATGCTTGTCTCAACTTTAGCCATTAATTCTCCATCCTTTCTGTCTTCCCCTTTGATTAGAACATCTTCTTCCAAAGCACAGAATGAACATTTCTGTTGTTTCCCACCCCATGTACATAGGCCTATTGATCAAGTAGGAAACTGATGAATCTTAAGAGCTAATGTTCAATCTAGAAGCATTCTGAACTCTTTCAGAGAAGAGTCTTTAGTTATAGGAACAATGAATGAACTGAATGAAGATAGTGAACCTCTAAAAGGAAAGTCATGTACTAAGTGGCTTATTGCTGCCATCTGCTGGACACAATTTCGTTTGCACTCCAATCACGCTCTCCTTGAAAGTCCTAGTAAGAAAGCATATAAAGTCCTAAACTGTAATCTTTTCTGAACCTCCTTTATCTAATGAGATGAAGATACTCTCTCCAAATTTAAAATCTGTGCAGCCAAGCATAGTGGTTCTCACCTGTAATCCCAGCACTTTGAGAGGTGAGAGAATTTGCCTGGTTCAGGTGTTCGAAACCAGCCTGGGCAACTTGGCGAGACCTCATCTCAACAATAAATCAAAAAATTAGCCGGATGTGGGATGTGCACCTGTGGTTCCAGCTACTTGGAAGACTGAGGCAGAAGGATTGTCTAAGACTAGCAGGTCGAGGCTGTGGCAGCCATGAGTGTGCCAATGTACTCCAGCCTTGGCAACAGATTAAGACTCCTACTCAAAAAATAAAAAAAATTAAAAATTAAAATAAAAATCTGTGCAACTTAAGCCTGGTAACAACTGTATATTTTTCCTAGGTCATAGGTTTATATGAGTATAGAAAATTACATTGCTTAAAATCCACCTGGAATGTAATATATCAACAAAGACTACTAATTTTCCCATATAACTACTAGAAAATCATATTTTACATACTGAATAATTACATGAGTCACTTTAAATACTCAATTACACTTCATCCATATGGCACACTATCCACACTACTTCAATGTTTCTTGAAAACATGCACATGGTAGGTCTTCTAGCACTCACCCACACTGGTTCCCCTGCCTTCCAGGCACACAGGAATATTACACTTCCTGTCCCCTTAGTATTTATGTGTAACCATAGTTCTGGTCGATAGATTGTAAGCGAAAGAGCTGTACACTACTCATAGGCCAACATAATAAGACATTTTATGTGTGAGATCCTCTAGCACTCTCTTCTGCCTAGATGGAGCCTCAAAGACAGTAAAAATCAAAGTAGCTTAGCTCACTAAAGACAGCTGCCCTAGAAAGCTGTCCAGACCCAGAAGAGATTTTCTGAGATTAAAAAAGAAACTCTTATTGTATTATGCCACTGAGAGTTGACACTTTAATATAACCTCAGAAGCTGGGCTCGGTGGCTCAGCCTGTAATCCCGCGCCTGTGGGAGGCTGAGGTGAGTGGATTGCCTGAGCCCATGGGTTCGAGACCTGCCTGGGAAACTTGGTGAGACCTGATCTCTACAATAAATCAAAAACTAGCCAGGTGTGGTAGCACATGCCTGTAGTTCCAGCTATTTGGAAGGCTGAGGCGGAAGGATCTCCGGAGCCCAGCAGGTTGAGGCTGTGGTGGCCGGGAGCAGCCACTGCACTCCAGTCTAGGCGACAGAGTGAGACTCCAACTCAAAAAAATAAAATAAAATAACCTCAGTAGAGTCAAGCCCAAGGTTTCTCAGCAGCAGCACTATTGCCATCTTGAGCTGAATAATTCATCATAGGCTCTGTCCTGTATACTGTGGGATATTAAACAGCATTCCTGGCCTCTATCCACTAGATGCCAAGTAGCACTTGTCAATGTGATAACCAAAAATATCTGTAGACATTGCCCTCCCCTCCCTCTCTGAAAGTCACTGACATAGTTTAACCTGACAAATATGGTGTGTAAATATGAACATATGATGAATATATGGACATGTGTGTGAGTATATTTACATCAAATGTCATATATTTCCATGTTTTATTATATATTAGGGTCAGATATTTTACAGGACTTTAACAGATATGAATTCCCATTTCTCAAAGTAGTAAATTCATAAATTAGAAATTCAATGAATATCACCTCTCTCTGAAGTAAAATAAATAAAATATTCCAAAGTATATAAATTTATACATACTATGCTGTTCATTTCAGAGGACTCATAGCTTCCAACAGGATGGACATTTCCGATGGGTTCCAAACCCTCTTCATCCCACATGTATGTTCCATCAGAGCTATCAGATGGAGAGAGTTCAAATGAAGAACCAGCTCTGTAATCCGTATCTGGTGAAATCAAATTATTCCCAGAAGGATGTTTTATACATTCACTCCTGTCTTAAATTGATTTAAAGAGAAAAAAAAAGTTATTAATTCACAAAAAATAATTTCTCATATTCTAAAAATAGAAGTGCTAATAATAATTTGATATATTATGGTAAGAAAGTTGGTCTATAAAATAAAAACATCAAGAAACAAATTCTCAAAAATAACCTGCTGAATTGTTTTCTTTCCTTTTTTCTTTCCCCCTGAGTTAGAGTCTCACTCTGCTGTCCAGTCTGGAGTGCAGCAGCACAATCACAGATCATAGCTCACCACTCATTACAGCCTCAACCTCCTGGGCTCAGGCAATCTTTCTGCCTCAGCCTCCCGAGTAGCTGGGACTATAGGCATGCACCACCATGCCTGGCTAATTTTGTTGTTTTTTTTTTTTGTAGAGACGAGGTCTTGCTATGTTGCCCAGGGTGGTCTTAAACTCCCTGCCTCAAGCAATCCTCCTGCCTTGGCCTCCCAAAGTGCTGGGTTACAGGCATGAGCCACTGCACTCATCCTTCAAGGTTTTCTAATAGACAAAAAAGAAAAGTCATTTAGTCATCTTTCATTTCTGGAATGTTTCTAAAAATATGAATAAAGTCTCGTATTTCTTTAGCTTTTCCCAAGATACTTACTTTTAATCACTAGTCGAGAAACTCCCTTCCACTGTGTTCATAATTTAACTTTGTAGTAGCCTACTTATAAGGAAAAAAACTTGTTCTGGCAGTCCCATGAACAACCAAGAGTTTACATGTGCACCTCTAGGCATGATGTAGTCCCTTGATTATATCACATGCCTATACCCAGTCCCTTCTACTTGTTCTTTTCTCAGGTGTATGGGCAAATACATTTATCCAGCATTTAGTGTCAGGGTAACCAAATATAAGAGGAAATTTTTAACAGGGGCCACCTCACTTTCTTCAATTAAAGAAAAAATAGGCTGGGCATGGTGGCTTAAGCCTGTAATCTCAGCACTTTAGAAGGTCAAAGTGAAAGGACTGCCTGAGCTCAGGGGTTTGAGACCAGCCTGAGCAACTTGGTAAGATCTCACCTCTACAATAAATAAATAAATAAATAAGGTATGGTAGTGCATGCCTGTACTTCCAGCTGCTTGGAAGGCTGAGGCAGAAGGATTGCTTGAGCCCAGCAGGCAGCAGGATGAGGCTGCGGTGGCCATGAATGTGCCACTGCACTTAAGTGTGGGCAACAGAATGAGACTCTGACTCAATCAATCAATCAATCAATCAATGAAAATGGCAGGGCGCAGTGGCTCACACCTATAATCCCAGCACTCTGGAAAGCCAAGGGAAGAGGACTGCCTGAGCCCACAGGTTTGGGACCAGCCTGGGCAACTTGGCGAGACCTCATATCTACAATAAAAAAAAAAAAAAAATTAGCTGTACATGGTGGTACAGGCCCATAGTTCCAGCTACTTGGAAGGGTGAGGCAGAAGGATTGCCTGAGCCCAACAGGTTGAGGCTACAGTGGTCATAAGCATGCCACTGCCCTTCCAGCCTGGACGACAGAGTGAGACTCCAAAAAAATAAGTAAGTAAAGTTATTCTGGAAATATAACTATAAAAACTGCTAAAAGAAACAAGTTCTAGGATTTTAAAAAATCCATTAAGCATAACATATATTATCTTATTTACCCTTTGATACAGCTTTACTCTTAACACTAATGAAATGTTACCCTAAGGAAAGTGACAATTCGTTTAGTGGTATGCCACTTGATGGGTTAAGTAGGAGGTGAAAATCATTTGGAAGCATTGCCTATACTAAGCAGGAACAGGTCTATCATAATAGCCAAAGAAGAGCAAAGGTAACAGAGGTTATTATTAATGGTGTTTCAGATACGGTGAAAAATAGGATATGGAACAAAAGTCACAGGGAAGGGTAAATGTCCCCACTCCAATTTTACCTAGACCCATCCCTCCATAAAACTGATAGTAACTTGGAATCTATCTGAAGATAATCCTAAATGTAAGTAAATGTAAATTCAGTTATATTATTTAGAAGAAAGCAAAAAACTTAGAATTTTAATATTTACCAGAGACACTTATATCTATCCATTCATCGGTTTTACTGAAGGATTTTTCATTTTCCTTGGGGGAATCAAATATATCCTGTGGTGGTACATTTTCATGTTTTTCTTCTTTGAGAGAAATTTCCTCTGGAGTTATCCTAGTTCTGTTGGAATCTTCTATATCTATAAAATCATCACTAAAGTCTTCACTTAAATCATTTTTATCAGAAGATGACAGAGAAGACAAGGAAATGTCATCCACATCATCATTCAGGTATCTAATTTTAGGATCATGTTTCATGGTCTGGTCATTTTCTGTTCTGTAACTTTCATTTTCAGTTAGTTCTTGGTCCTTACTAGTAGCTCTGTCCTTAGTCAAAACTGTAGCATCTTCCTCTACACATGAGTCAGCAGGTGAATTTTTATTTCCATCAACTGTGATAGTCCCAGAAAATGGAGGTCGGCTAGATTTCAGTAGAGAGGGATGAACCATTCTATAACCGAAAGTGGAAGTTACACCTGGGCCATTTGGTAAAGCCAACTTCTTTCCACCAGCAGCATAAGGCCTATTAAATCCATACCCCAAATGTTCATTCCCATTGAGCACTTCTGACTGCCGGGAATTTCTTGTCAGCATACTTGACCGTAGAGGCACTCTAATGGACAGCTGCTGGTTCTGATAAGGCTTTGTAAGATCTACAGCTCTATTGAAGGAATGTGATCTGGTTATAGATGAAGGCGGAAGGAATGAGTTCTGAATGGAATGTGAAAAACTTTGTGACCTTACCATCTTTTCACAAGTAATTGTTTTAATATTGTCTGGGGACTGAGCTAAGCTTTCTCCAGAACTGCTTCTGGTAGCACAAGAGTTTGCTCTAGGCCTTTGCATGCTACCGGCCGGTCGACTTCCATAAAATCCATTCAATTGTGATTTTGGAGTACTGACTGAAGAATATGAAGTCCTTCCTAATAATGTGCCTTTGGTGAATTTACCCAAATTAGATGGTCCAGGAAAAGACTTTTGGTTTAATTCCTCTGTAGATGATACAAACATAGTGGATGGTTTTGCTAACTTCGATGTAAGTAAAGAAACACTTTTCAAACCTCCCTTTATCCCATTTTTATCAAACATTCCTTGAGTAGAAACATGTTTTTCAGAATCAATTAATTTATCTTGTGAATTTTGAGTATTTTTAGGCTCTTCACTAAGTTGGTATTTATTTGCTTTTCTCCAATTAAATGAATGGGATGATGGACAATCAGAGCCATTATTTTTTATGTAACTTTTAATGTTACTATTCTTGGAAGTTCCTAATAAATTAACAGGTGCCCCATTTGGCATTGGCTGCAATGTACTTCTTACAGATTTTGTTCCATACTTTGGCAACTTGGAACCAAAAAATGTCTTGATTTGTGTTTTTTCTTCCATGAGCTATTAAGGTGCATTCGTCCTTAAAATCTGAAAGAATCTGAGGAAAGAAAAACAGTAGATTAAACACTCCTAAATAAGGATAATTAGAGGAATTATTACATAATATGAATGCAAGTACTTACATAATTACACGCAGAAAAGCCCAAAAGGTACTCATGATTCCTACACAATTCAACAAATACTAAATGCACTATTTAGCTGGGCTTGGTGGCTTAGCCTGTAATCCCACTCTTTGGGAGAATGAGGTGAGTGGATTGCCTGAGCCCACGGGTTTGAGACCCGCCTGGGCAACTTGGTGAGACCTCATCTCTACAATAAAAAAAAATCAAAGAATTAGCCGGGTGTGGTAGTGTGCACCTGTAGTTCCAGCTACTTAGAAGGCTGAGGCGGAAGGATCACCAGAGCCCAGCAGGTCAAGGCTGCGGTGGCCGGGAGCGTG